TATATACCATACAAACCGAATGTATGTGATTTTATAAAAACCGTAAGATTTGGATATGGTTTGATTTATAATCGATTAAACTGAAACATGTAAATATGTATATCTATTTGTTACATAAGTTGAACTATAATTATGATTTGTAAATCACTTGAATCACTTGAAATATAATTAACTAACAATTTAATGCAACTGAGGCTTCATATTTTCTTCGTCTTTTTTTTAATCTTTTTTTTTTTAATAAAACTAAACTGAAGTAAAAATTATAAATTTGATGGACAACAATTAGTTGAAATTCTTTACAATTTTATTTTAATCTTTAAACAAACAAAGTTGTGTTCAATCGAAGACATATTAATTTGATGAACACTAAATATGGAAGAATATAAAAACTTTTCTTTCATGCTTCTGTTTTGTTTTTATTTTTATTTTTATTTTCAAAATTTAGAGATTTGATATTAATTCTAGATTTGATCATTTTATTAGATCATAGAAACCTTTTTTTGTTTTTAATTCTTTTAGTTAAATATATAATATATTTTTTTAGTAAATGACTTTTTGATAATATGACTCTAAATATGATCATATTATTTATTTTATAATATGTAATATAATTTCAAACTAAATAATGATGTATTTTGGTATAAAATTGAATAAACTGAAAACCAATATATAAACCAAATCAAACTGAAGTAAATATGGATTTAGAATAGTAGTTATATTTTAATAACCAAAATACGGAAACCCGATATCCAGATTGAACATTCTTAATCTAGATGGAACCGAACTTTTGTTTCATTTTCCAAAACATAATAAAAATAATAATTTCATCCCGCGCAAGGCGCGGGTCTTATCCTAGTGATGATATTATTAGAGAATTAATGTAACATAACTTTCTAGTAACAGTCCATTTTTTTAGAAATCACACATGAAATCAAGTCATAACTTCTGTTTTAATATATAAGATTATCAGTTGTTTAAAGGCATAACTCGTAAACTTCTCATAACATACAGTTCCACTATTAGTTGTATGTTAATTGTATACTCACCGGAAAATTACTTGGAGAAGATCTTACACCAAGAAACTTGACAAGGAGAGATTGCAGAATCTCGTGGATGAAATTAAAAGGGATGTAGACGTAAGACAAAACTCCATTTCCTCTTCTTCCTTCTTTATCCATCTCTTCTTTTTTTTTTTGAAGAAATTATTTCTTTCTTTTTTCCTTTCTTTCTTTCTTTCTTTCTTTCTTTCTTTCTTTCTTTCTTTCTTTCTTGTAATTGTGTGTTTAGAAGTGAGTAATCGGGACATTAATAGAGTTCAAATCACTCGGCATTGATTCTTGGTCAACTTTCAGCGTTTAAGTTAATTACTATAAAATTGTATTTATACAATTTATTTAAGTGTAACAGCTCACAAGTCGCATATATTCCTAACATTGCATGTGTTTTTTGATAAAAAAAATATCATTGCACGTTTCCCGTTTGCAACTAGTTGTATTTATTTAAAATATGACACGCATTTGAATGAACTTATATTCGTACGTTTGTTCGGATTAGCGATGTATATATTGCAGGAACTATAAAAAAATACTCCATTCTTTAATTTCATATTATCGTAGTCGATCAGAATACGTGAACTAATAGACGGTATGATCCTATCCTGTTGATTACTCGTGGTGGTTGGTATACGCTTCTACTTGAAACTTTGTGTCACTCTCCAAAAGTGATAGGTCAACGGACATTGGACCAGCGAATAAAAAAAGAAGAAAAACCATGTGATTTTGGTATTTTTCTAAATATGTGACTGGTTCTTTCTAAACTTCTCTTCAGTACTGGTCCTGAGGGGAAGCATTACAAGCAACCGCTTCCGGCCCACAAAAAATATTTGAAAAAATTCAGCCTTTTTTATAAGAAAATTATTATTATAGTATATAAATATTCTTATAAAAATGGTCAATTTTTAGAAAATTGCTTCTGGTTTTTCCCATATCAGGACCGATACTGTTCCTAAAGAAAATTAGTAAAAGCTAGTAGTACACTGGAAGCATTGCACGGCATTTTCTTAAAAAACATTGTACATCAGTTTGCTGGTAAAACAAAAATTCTTAATCAACTAAGTTGTTTTTTTTTTTTTTTGATAAAAGGGCTTTTAATCAACTATGTTGTTACCGATTGAATTATATATTCTGCTCAAAATTTAAACTAATATCTTGTCTACATATATCGACACATCCGAATTTAAAGATAGCATATATTCTGACCATTTTACTTTATTGTTTATATGTCAATTTTCATTTTCTTTATCCTATCAACTTTGTTTATGTATTTTACAATAATTTACGACTGTTCCGGTATTTTTCTATCTACTAAATGCTGTTTCGATGTAAAAATAAAAAGTATACTTTATCTGTTTTCTTAAGTTTCGGTATTCAACCAAAATCTCAATATAATGAAACAAGATGTTATATATATTTCATATTAAAAATATATTTTAATATTAACCAGAGATACATTATTTTCCGTACCATTTGGTCACCGTCCACTGTCGTCTGTCGTCTATCAAGTATCAACACAAACGTCTGAAAACAAAAGCCATTATGTTTTGAATAATTTTATTTAAAAAAAAAAAAATTATGGAACTTCATGATATGAAACGGTGATTAGCCAAAAACAATACATAAAACGATGTCTATGATAAACGTGGAATATTGCATGCAACCGTAATCTTTTTTTTTCCGGTAACGTTTATGGGTGAAAGATATATAGCAAAACAACAAATCAAAATGTTCCTTTAGTTGCGGCTGCCTGGCTTTCCAGAGCTGTGTGGCTCTCTTGGCCTTTTCTTTGATCCGACTAATATTCCCCTTGTCGTCACTACATCGTGTGCTGTCTCCTCCTCCTGAACCTGCACTTGTAAACGTGTAGTTAGAAGAAAAATCTCAATACCTCATCATATTATAGGAAATTAGGAACGTCCAGTATAGTATGGTCAAATTCAAATCGATATAAAAGAAAAAGATTTTAAAACCATGAAATTAAATAAAGATATATATAGACGATTATATCAAACCGAACCAGACAAAATCAATTTTATAATTAGTTTTATGTATCACTAATATAAAAATTCTTAAGATAATATATTTGAATCGAAACCGAGCATATCAAATGACATATGCATATACATGTGAATATTTTTATTTTTGAACTAGTAATATGCATGTGACCATATGCATAATACCTTGATCACTTTAGCTTTGTTTCCTAATAACCGATTACGTACCGAAGATTTTGAAGGAGAGGTATAACGACCAAGACAATTTAGGAAGCTCTTGAGAGCTTTGTTACAGAACTGGAAAGGACTCCAAAGATGAGATCTTTCTTCTTCTCTCCGTCTCTCTTCCTCCATTGAAAACCAAGTCACGACGTATATGAAGTGATGTTTTAGTCTGTCTTCGTTTTTTTTCTTTTTTGGGACAAAGGGCTTTGTTTTAGTCTGTCTTACGACTATCCTTATAATTACAACTTGACACAACCAAAAATTCCATGTATACCTCTAAAACTTGGTACAATACAAGCAGGGGAGGTTTAGTGGGGATGGAGTGCGACATCCCAAGGTCCAACAATAAAGAAGATTCGTTTTTCTTCAATATGCATTGGATCCGTTTAAACTCGGATAATAACACAAAATGATACTCCATGAACTATTTGACTCTGTATTTTTTGCTAAAAGATAAATCTAATAAAAAAAACAGAATTCAAAGAAAAGTATATAGCATTAGCTAGTATGTATTTATAAAACGTTTCACATCCAGCAGAGTTAAAAGTTGTATTTTATTGATAATTTTGATAAAATAACTATTGGACCTGTCTTTTGGTCGCGAGCTTCTAATAATGTTGACCTGTGTATTAGTTGTCCGTCGGTTCACATCTGATTTTCAATATAATACTTTAATTATCTCAAACTCTCAAATCTCTCAAATCTCTCCGATGCATTATTGGTGACTTTCTTGAGATTTCAATTCATCATCATATCTTGATGATTTTAGCACAGGTAACGCATGTGTTATACTGACATTAAATAACTCAGTATTTTGGTGGTTCGGTGCCTCGGGAGTCTTCTTGCGCGGCTATGGGTTCTGAGTTAGTTCCTGTCTCCTTACTTTGGGCTCTTTTGTGTTGGATTTTAGTCTAGGTTTGTGTTGCGCCAGTAAATATTGTCTGGGTTTTGTGTAGGTTTAGACTTGTTATATGAACCCAATAAGAGTTATTGGAATGGTGTATTAAAAAATGTAAATATCCCCAAAAATATCTTAATGCAGTGAAAAGTTAAAAAAAAAAAGAAAAGAAACATTGACCTTATAGAAATTTGTAAAAGTCGGAATGTACTACTTTATACGATATGATCATGTGAGAGGTTCAAACCAATTTTTAACTTTTTATCAAGATTCTAAAATATTTAATCGCGGTTGCCAGAATATATGACAATGGACCGCGGTGAGCTAAATATTGCCATCTTATTAAGATCACTGAACAAGTGTGCCGTTAGCGAGTTTGATATTTCCATTTTTCTGCTTGTATATTCCTTGGTTTTCAATTCTATATCCTTTATTTGTGAGCTTATCTTCTCCAATTGTAATTACTAACATTTTAAACCGATTGATGAAAGTATTAAGCGAGAAAAAGCTAATTTTTTAAAATCTTAAGTTTCTTGTTGAGGTTTTGATTTACTCAGGCAGCAAATTTTTACAAAAAAAGAAAAGAAAAAAACAAAGTAATAATATCATTCACGATTGAGTTGATTCATACCTCGGATCATGGGTAGACCGAAGACCAAAAATACAGCTCTGAAAATTGGAGCTTAACAGTTATTATTTAGCATTGTCACTGTATGAAAAAACCAAAATGAAAATTGGAGCTTAACAGTTATTATTTAGCATTGTCACTGTATGAAAAAAAAAAACAAAATGAATGTTGACAGTGGGATTTGAACCCACGCCCTTTCGGACCAGAACCTTAATCTGGCGCCTTAGACCAACTCGGCCATATCAACTTATTGATCTAAGTATACAACACGAGATTATAAAGATTACAAACATAAATAAAAGATGTGGGTTAATGTCAGCTGAAGCACTGTCGACTGCACCTGCCATTAACTCTGAAGCACTGATAAGTCAGTGTCTGAAAATGAATAGCAAAGAGACAGACACGAGCTTAATTTCAGAGATACGACTCTTTGGTGAAGAAACTTCTCAGGCTTCTATTAAAGCCCATTATAGAATCAAACAATGGCCTTTTTGTTTTGTCTACAAATCTATGGTGTTTTTTAGAGTGAGAATTTAATATTCTGTACACCATGTATACCTGGAGTGGTCAGTAATGTTCACATGTGACTAAGCAATTAGGCAAAGCAATTAGCTTAATTTGAAACTAATCTTCCTCTTGTAATAGAGCTATGTGCATATAGTAAAACAGAGAGACAGAGATGGATTCAAACATATATAAAAGAAAGATTCATCAACATACATTTTACATATTTGAGTGACAAGTCAATATATATTGATAGAGAATTAAATCGTTCAAGCTTTTACGCAGCAGTTGAAGCAGCTGAAGATGCTTCTCCTCGCCTGTTTCCAAACAACAACAACATATTCTTATGTTACTTCATAGTCATCAATCATAATCAAAGACAGGCTGATCAATAAAACTATTGTTCAATAATTTAAGGTCCTTCAAAATTTTGCATCAAAACCCTAAGATATAAGACACTTCTTGGTTACAAAACCACGTCCTAAATGAAAATCTTTATGTTTGAAAAGATCAAATCAAAAACTAAAAAAGTGCTTTGGAGACTTACAGAAGGGGAATGTGGTTGGTGATGGTGGTCAGGAGAGAAGTGTCGTTGGTTTTCACTATGGACCGTGGTGAGTTTAGCGGTTGGTTTTGCTGACACGGGTGGTTTAGTGAGCTCTTCTTCGTTGCCAAAACTTGCTAGAGAAGGGTCTCTTTTGTTCTGTTTCCTCATCTCCCTAATCTTGGTGAAATCCATCGAATAATCAGGCATTGCTCCTCCTCCTCCTCCCTTTTGATCCCAATCACCAAACTGTGGCACAGATAGCCACGGAGAGTTCTTCTGCATAACAACAAACAGTTTGATATTTTAAAAAATACATCAACAAAATATGTCACAATTGTTGCATATAGACTTAATTAAATACAGACTTACAAAGCGCTGGATGAGAAAATACTTAAATTAAATACAGACCTATTTTCTAAGCTTTGAAATGTATTAGAGATTGTCAATGATCGAGTAACGTATTATTATCTTGTTATAAATCCTGAAGATAACCAAAGTCTTGAAAATACAGAGTTAGTGACAACGTTTCAGTTTCCATCACTATAACAGTATCAATACTAGTGCTTGGAACTTGTTAGAAGTCTAAAGCCTAAGTTCGTTTCCCAAAAAGATCCGAACGGCACAACAAAACAAGCAGATCTCGAGATATGCTTAGTTCAAAACCAGAATCAATCAGGGAAACATACAACACAGAGTGAAACATATGAAGAAGAAGAAGAAGTAGATGGTGTATACCTCTTTTCGATCCTCTTCCATTTAATTCAAATCTGTCAAAGAGGAAGTTTGTAGAATAGATAGAGAGAAAGAGAGAGATCAGGTGACTTTTTAATGTTATGTTTCGTGTTTCAGCCGATATGATGATGCTAGCGAAATAGAAGCTGGAGAGACAGATAGGATCGCATATACATTGATACTATGTGAAATTATTACAGCAAAATGACAGCTCGACTTATATCAATCAAAATCATTATTCAATTTCTTTTTGTCTGTCATGGCCATTGGCTCAATGATAACGTAAAATAACAATAAACAATTACAGAGAGTCCGAGGTTGTGTGTAAATAACCACGAAAATGCCATTTATGACTTTTTATTTTTTTAGCAACGCCAATTACGACTTTTTTAATCCTCTGACGACAGTCTTTTTTCTTAAAAAAACAGACGATAATATAATATATTGAGCTCTTTTTATGATAACCAAATTAACATTCTCTCTATTTCTTAATAAATGTCACTTTAAAATTTTCCACAGATTAAAAAAATAATTGAGATGGGTGTAAAGTGATATTAATTATATTTATTGATCAATAATAGTTAAGATAAACAGAACTATTTATAAAATCAATATAATTTGCAATTAATTTTCAACTGAAAGTAAATACTTTATCTGTTTCATATTAAGTGTTATTATAGAGAATTTATTTCTTTACAAAATAAATGTCGTTTTTGGTTTTCAATGCAAAATTTATTAATTTTACTATGCAATTACTTTTTATTAGTTGAAATATGTTTAAATGATATAGGTAATTGTGTGTTTTATATAAAAATATATAAAATTAATTGTTCACTTAATTTGTATGCACAAAGCTAAAATGATATTTAGAATGAGACATATGAAATATAATTTGTATTAGAATTTTAAAGCGACATTTTTTATATAACAAAAAATATATATTCGAATAACAAGAAAAAATATTAGAATAACATTTGTTATGAAACAAATGGAGTAATAATATAAAAAAATACATGAGTCAATCCATATTAGAATGAAAAGTATTTGTGGTTGGTTGGTTCACAAATTTGTAAGAATAATGTAAAAGTAGGAAGATATTATATTGGCCTATATGAACACAAAATATGAGAGAGGCATGTTCTGTGCCAGTCACTGCATTATTCACCCTGTCTGAGATTTTATTTATTATATCGAATAATTTATTTTAGCAATACAAAAGAGCCCAGAACATAGTCCAGAACATTACACATACCAAACCGAATAAATTTCATGCAGAAACTTAAGACATCAAACCGAAGTGTGAGATTTTGCTTAAGAAAGACCGGTTTTGGACCCCACCATGATTCCAATTTCCCGTATTACTTATAACCGGTCTTTGACTCGACAATTGAACCGGAGGATTTTTCCATTTCGGAACCGGACCGGTTATGAACAACGACGACTCAACCAACGACCCAGCCTCACTAACCGCCTGCAAAAACTTACCGTTTTCCGGTAAAACTCCACCGATCATCTCCAACACAACGGTCTCGTAATCTCTCGGCTTCTCATCAACAACTTGCTGCATCTGACTCGGCCGGAAGGTGAGATCCAACGGCGATGAATTAACACTCGAGACGTGATCCAACGGTGATGCAGAGGAGAACCGCGACGGAGAATCTCCGGGAAAGTGAATGTAATTACAGTTTTGAGTAGTTTCATCAGTAACTTCTGGCTGATGACATTGTATTTGTTCGTCATACCAAAGTATGGTGTTGAAGAGTTGCTGTAATTGAGAGACTTCGGCTAGTGAATGCATCAGATGTTCTCTTGCTTCGTCTCTTTCTTGGACAGCAAGTTTCCATAACTTATAATAATGCAGAGTTTCTTGGTGCATGTTGTTTATATTTTCTTGAGAAAAATGCTCTGTCCAGAGGTTAAAAAAAAAATAACATTTTCAGTGCGATTAATGAAATGTTTTTTTTTCATAATTTGAAGTAGACTAGAAGAAATATTTACCTCAAAAATCAAGATAGTTCACGCCAAGCCATCCATGAGTTTCATTTCATCTCTTTCTTTGTGAAAACGGTGAATTAAGAAATGTAGAGATTTCATTTATAAGAGCCAAAAATTAATTAGAGTTTGTACATTTGGTAGGTTTATATTTTAATGCCCAAAATAATGATGGAAAGTTTGTTTATTCTTTTGGAGCTTGTTGATTATTGGAGAATATTCTACTGATTTACTTGCATCATGTATCGGTATACAAGATGATTTAGACATTCTAATTAGGGAAATGTAATATTTTTTATTGATGCAGTGTCAAGATCCATTGATTTCTTTCTTGTTCTTCACCAAAGAAGAGTGATATAGTAGTAAATTACAAATAAGATATTGTACGCTTTCGACGTACATGTTTAATATACTTTTATCCACAAAATTGGAGTTGCATCATTCAACAAAAGCTTACTGTTTCTTCTGCTCAATGTTCTATAAATTGGTATAGATTACAGGCGGCAAATTCCGGATCTTTGAACATTGCTTCTGCTTAATACAGTAATTTTATTCACACTAGGTTCATAGCTCCGCGCAAGCGCGGAGCCGGAGACAGTGATGATGCGTTATGATGTTTTATAGATGGGATTTTGTCATTTTTTTGGACATTTTTTTGTTTGGAGTTTAACCGAAAACACGATTGAACTGAGTTGGTATATGAATGAGTGAAAATTCATATGCTTTGAAATATTCATATATTATTTTAGTAATGATTTTCTCGAATATTTGTGTTATTAGTGCTTTTATGTCTAGGATGGATGATTTATTATGTTGTTATTGTCTAATTTGTAGGTTGGTAATATATTATTGTTAAATAGTGAATTAGCATTTTTTTAAAAAAAATTAAGATTTTATTAAATTATACAAAGAAATATAGTTTAATGGACTGAAGAGAAAAATATGAAACATGTTTGTTAAGTGGTTGTGTGGAATGTTTAGAGATCAATATTTATTAGTGAGTAAAGACCTGTTTTTATTTACAGATAAGAGTGTTTGACGAATTTATATGTGTTCGTATTTCTACATTTTTTTACGATTTAATTGGATCTTAATGTTATTAGTGAGTTAATAACTATATGTAACCAAATATAGGTATTTGTTACTATACAATTATAATATGGGAACGAAGAAGAAATAATTTTGTTATTCGAAAAGAAATATAGTTTGTTGTTTTCAAGGTGTCATGACATGTTTTGAAAATATATAACTGTAGTTTAATAAATGCTAATGCTAATTATATACATGTATGACTAAGATAGTTATTTTTTTATATTTGTCAAAAATATTTTGTGGTAGTTTAAAATTGGGAATGATAGATTAAAAAGTTTAGTCGTATAGGACTATATTTGAACATAATGAAAATATAGTAGCTGGGTTTTAAATGATTGGACTTGAAATTTGATGAGTCTTGAGTCTCAATTTAGATCTGAAACTGGATTGTTTTCTCGCCTTTTTTGTTTCTCCTCGTCATCTTCAGTAGTGTGACAAGGTCTTGTGATTCTTGGTCTGATTGTGTTTTTAGTGTGTCATTTTGTGAAATTATGGTTTTTCTATAGCAACATGGAAGAGAGATTAGCTCACCTCAGTTAAGGTTGTCTCTGTCGCATTCCTTACTCAGTGAACCTCTGTTGATTCGGTGTTCTCGGAACCTGCAATAAGAAGGTTTGAATTTGTTGTATGACTTTATTTCTATTATTATTAGTTTCATTTACTAAAACCATACTGAATGATTTGAGGTTCTATATGTTAATTTGGTTGGTATGGCTTATGTTTACTTTAGCATGACATAGAGACTTGAAGGCTGCATGACGGATGCCGGTGACGCTAGTTTTAGGAACTGGAGAAGGAGAGAAAGACATTTTCTAGAAAATAGTTAAAGTTAAGAGGAATAGATAAGTTTTGTGGAGATGCACATAGGGTTCATCAAAGATGAGAATCATATATATATGATTTATAGAGGGGCTACAAATCAGGAACATTTATGATCAAGCGATGTAAGATAGGGAGATGAAAAGTTCACCGGTGAAAAAAATAGATTACGAACAGACACACGGCGCAGCTCTGTAACTCAGACCTGTATAGGACGATGGTGAAAGGAATCTTAACTCATTTTAAACATTAACGGTTTACAATATGGAAAAACTATAACTGTTGTAAATTTGAGGATCTTCTTCATATAATATGATGAAGCCCAATTAAAAATAAAACTCATAATACACTTCCAGGCCCAACTTTAAAGGAGGCCATAGATGCAAAGGCTTCCGGCTAAATCTATATTATAATAGTTGAGTTTAAAGACTCCTCAACGCGCCACATCAGCATAAGGTGGATCCCACTTTAAAAAATGTGAAAAATGTCAAACATAGGATTCGAACCCGGGTTATTAAGAAACAAATATATATTAGTTTCGGCCATCAATGTACAAGTTATCTTGTAGTTTAGTGGTATGAATGTTAGTGTTTGTTTCTTAATAACCCGGGTTCGAATCCTATGTTTGACATTTTTCACATTTTTTAAAGTGGGATCCACCTTATGCTGATGTGGCGCGTTGAGGAGTCTTTAAACTCAACTATTATAATATAGATTGCTAATAAGCTATCTATCGTCTGTCATACATATCACTCACTTCTTTCTGTTGTTAACAGGAGCCAGGCAAGAGAATACAATGTAAGATTTGTGTAACTTGAAAAAGTTTCTCAGTGATGCTTATAGAGGAAGAATAATGTTGAATCTAAAGAGGAAGAGAGCTGGGAAAGAAGAACCTAAGATGCTCTCACTCTTGAAATGCTAAGAGATGGAGTTGAAGCTTTATGCATATCATTATTCATGTGATATTATGATGTTTCAAAAAACTCTAGTTAGTAATAAGATGTATATTTCATTGCAAGTTTGGATCATCCATTGTAAATTACATTCATTAAACATGAAGGTATCATTCTAGGGATCATGGCACTGAAAGCTTTATAATTTCAGACATGAAAAATTAACTCAAGACATCAGCTAAAAGAAGAGTGTAACACACCCTGAAAGATAAATCAGTTTAGAATCTTAGATCTTGAGAAATATTTATGAACTACTCAAATCTCTTGACAAGGGAGAGATCATTGAGCATCTTCTCAATTGCTTCATCACTATGAGCTCTTCCTTTTGTCTGCACAAAACATAAGCTTACATCATATCTCAAAAGTCCACAAGACATACAAGGCTATTTGACAAGTAACTGTCTGATCTCCACTGAACTAGAAAAAAAGGTAGCATTTTTTTTTTTTTGTACCTTGAGAGAAGGAACCATTGCCACTGCTTCTTCAGCAGTTTCAGGACAGAGATTGCCAAGAACACAGAGCTGGTTAAACAACACGACCAATGCAATGGGTTTAAACTCTTATGTCAAAACGACATAGCTACAATAATCCAATCTCAAAATCTTACCTCAAACTCAGTGAGCTGATGTCTACTCAGGATTCTGTGGAACTTAAGTTAAGGCAAAAAAAAAAAAGTTGCAACAAAATCAAAACTGCATGTTCTCACAATGCCTAAAGAAGTAAACCAGTGACTGTAAAACCAATGAAAAGCAGAATCAATGCATTCTCATAATACTAGGTCTTTGGAATAAAGATGCAAGCAAGTCAAAGCATTGATTAAAATACTAAGAATCATCTAACTAATCACAGAAAGAGGATACTCTCGGACTTGTCTAACAGCATCTGGATTCTTGTAGCGGCTAAAACGCTTCACATACTGCAAGGACTTCTCAAACACTCTGCAACAAGAATCCTTATATAAATTCTTCACCAATAAAAAGAACTAGATTTGGACCCGCGCTTAAGAAGCGCGGGTTTTTTTTTGTTAACCGTAAAGCCAAATATTTCGGAATAGATATTTTGATTGGTTTTGATGGTGTTTTTAAATTTGATTGAGTTGATGGTAAAAGGGGTTCGAGATACCTTGTATTTATAAAATGAGAGGGTTGTTGTTCTATTATTTTATTTCAGTCTTGTA